TAGAATGAATGGCTCAATAGATTGTTCAGATGTCGAAAGCAATGGATTGATGCATACATTGCAGATGCATTCATAGCAGGTATGTCATCGACTCAGATAAGCGACAAAATGAATAAGCACTTCAAAATGTATGTGACTTCCAATATAAGCTTGAGCACATGGTTGGAAACTGTTATAAAAGTGCATGATAAAAAACTTCTTAAGATGAGAGAAAATAACTTAAAGAACATGACATCAAAGCCTTTTCTAAGGACTACATGTGACATCGAGGCTCACGCTTCGAAGATATATACACACAAAGTTATGAAGTTGTTTGGAGAAGAAGTTGCAGAAGGCGTCAATTACATGAGTGAAATTATTGAAGACAATGACATAGTTGCAATATTTACGGTATCAAAACGTGAAAGTGGAACAAGGACCTGCAATGTAGAGTTCAATTGTCACAACCAAACTTTTGTTTGTACTTGCCACATGTATGAGAGGCTGGGCATTATTTGTAGGCATGGGATTAGGGTCTTGAATAATATTTTTGAAATCCCATCGCATTATATAATGAAGAGGCGGACAAAAGATGTGATGATAGGTGTTGTACTTGATGCCAATGGGAAACAAATTCAAGGCACCTCTAATCTACCCCGTTCAATTCGTTTTAATGAGGCTTGTCAAGTCACTAGAGAACTAGCAGAGCATGCTTCAGAAAGTATAGAACTCCATGCATTTATAAGGTCTGAACTATTAAGTACACTTTCAAAGGTAGAGGCCAAGATTGGGGGTGTGGTATTACCATATGGTGCTTTTAAGACCCTTTGTAACAGTCATAATGAGAATATGATTGCCAACGGAGCTGAGGTTGAGGGACATGCATACTATAACATCCTTGAGCCCCCTTGGCCACGAACAAAGGGGAGACCTACCAATGCTAGATATGTATGTCAGGCTGAGATAGAGGCAGAGAAAGCGAAAGCGAGACTGAAGGAAGTAACCCGAAAGGAAGTTACCCGAAATTGCGCAGTTTGCAAAGGGAGTGGAGATGACAAAACGAATTGTCCATCTCTCGCACGTTCAAAGTATGAATGAACTATTACTCTATTTCTCGTACTCTATGTGATTTTAATATGAATTCTTTAAATATAAATATTTGAAATGGGTTTTCTTTGTTTAGGTTAAATGTAAATATCAAATGCACTGATGGGTCATGTGAGAATGTGGAACATGCTGAGTAATGGTAATAATCTTTAGAGATTTGCATTATATTAAGTAAAATAGTATTTTTTTTGCATTGAATTTGCATGGTAAGAAATTTGTTTGCATTGAAATTCTAATGTTTGTGTGGTTGTTGACAATGTAGGTAAAACTTATTTCTTATTCTTATGTGGATGCAACGGTGCTGTTCTTTTGAATCAAAAGTTGACAGGTAAATAATATTTCTTATCGTGTAGTTTATTCATAAATTTACCATATTTAAGCATTGTGGTACTATCTGTGGTTGTATTACTTACTAATGGTCATACAGTTGCAGACACCGATTGATGGAAGACTTCACATTTCACTTGATGTTTTCAAGTCAGAAAACAATGCCTGCACTACCTTCAGTCGATGAATTTACCTTGATTCATGGCTAATTATTTGTAAACTTAATACTACGTTTTTTGGAGAGTGAGCCATTTGACATGTTTTTCTCTTATGGGACCATGTATCTTTTACTTTTTATAGATGTCTTCGAACTTTGCCATTTGACATGTTTTTCTTTTATGGGACCATGTATCTTTTACTTTTTGGGGGTATTTTGGTCAATTATTTTTATGTAACATATTTTTTTTTATAATTTTCAAAGATTCCCCTATTTTTGATGAATACACGCTCCAAATTTTAGGTCATTCTGAATTGTAAAAAAATAATGAAAAATATTCCTGGACACAAATATCCTGGAGCACAAATTGATTCTTTAAAGGAAAAAGTTTATATAATGATGCAACCTTATAATGTAGAACTACAGATGCACATCAAAATTTTCAAGATTTTCATGTGTTTATAGATCTACTTGATTTTAACCATTTTTTAAATTAAAAATTTTATAATTAGATATTAAAATATTTTTTGAGATAATCCTAAGAACATTTTACATCAAAATTATATACCATGATGAAATTTGAAGGTGCACCTTACCTCTACACTTATGAATGCATCCACCTTTCTTTAAAATCCATTGTTTTTATTAATTTTCAACTTTATTTTGATTTACTTTGTTTAGTCATTCTTTAAAAATACTTTTCATATTTTTTTAGATTTGTTTTTGTATTTTTTAATACTTTTTTTTACTGTCCAGGATTAGCCAGGTTAGAGCGGTTGACTGGCCGATTGAATTGCTTGCAGGCCCATGTCTAGTTAACCATTACAGTTTGATTTTTCCTACACTGGTCACAGTCATTCTTGTCCATCAAATATATATGTGTGTGTAGAAAAGTATTAAAATGTATTTGATTTATTAGTTTTAAATATTTCAACTCAAGAGTATGGGTATTTTAATGAGAATTTTGAAATTAAATAAAATGAAATGAGTAAAATATTGAATAGTTCATATCTTTAGGTACATTTTGATAAACAACACGTGCACACACACACACACATGCATATATATATATAAAGGTGAGGCTCTAAACAATTAAATTAAAGCACACCTTAAAAATCCACTAGAAACGGTTATTTCCAAGCCCAAAGTCCCTCAAATCAATGATCTCGACCTCTAGATGTATAAACATGAGAAAAAATAGATTTTAAGTATTGAAAATTGTCCATCTTGTAATGTATTTATGGATCATCAAATTTCAAGATTTTTATGTGTTCATAGATCTGCTTGATCTACACTATTTTTTAAGCTTTAAATTTTATAATTAGATATAAAAATAAAGTTTCAAGCCATCAC